ACATGGAGATGGGTGGGTGGATGGACGGAGATGATAAACAGATAGAGAAGGGTGGGTGGATGGAGATGAGTGGGTGAGTGGAGAAGAGTGGGTTGAGATAGATGGGCAGGTTAATGGAGAGGGGTACGTGGATGGAGATGGATGGGATGGATAGAGATGAGTAGATGGAGATGAATAGGATGGATGGAGATGAATGGGATGCATGGAGATGGGTAGATGGATGGAGATGCATGGGATGGAGATAGGTGGGTGGATGGAGATGGATGGGATGGATGGAGATGGATAGGTGAAGGGAGACAGGTAGGGAAGTAGATGGGGATGGGTGGGTAGATGCAGATGGATGGGTGGAGATGTATAGATAGGTGAATGGAGGTGGATGGGCAGATGGATGGAGATGAGTGGGTGGATGCAGATGAACAGAGATAGGTAGGTGGGCGCAGATGAGCGAGGGAGTAGATGGAGATGGGAAGGTGGATGGATGGAGATGGATAGGTGGAGGGAAAGGGATGGAAATCGGTAGGAGCATGGAGAGGGATGGGCAGATGGATAGAGATGAGTGGGTGGATGGAGATGAATGAGTGGAGATGTATAGGTGGATGGATGCAGATGGGTAGGTGGATGGGTGGAGATGCAGAGGTGGGTGGATCGAGATGGCTGGATGGAGGCAGAGGAGGGATGGAAGGAAGCAAATCTCTTCCTCCACAGACAAGAGACCAGGCCCAGAGGGTGAGCAAGGACCACACCAGTCTGCACGTGGAGGAAAGCCCTCCGGACAACTCCAGATGGACCAAATCCCTCCACTTTCRGAGTTGTCCCCATTGTCCTTTATGCAATGGGCATCACCACCTTATCCTGCCCGCAGACCAACCTGGAAGACCAACCAGAACATGTTCCTGCCTCCAAGCTCAGGAGAAATCCCTGGTACCTTCTCTGAGCTGACACTTGGGGGCAGATGAGAAGAGCCATGGGAAGCGCAGGTGTCCMCAGGCCCTGCAGGGACTGCTTCCATATCCATGCGTCCATGGGATCCTCATGCACCTGGGACACGGGACGCCCCTGCACATCCTCCCTGTGCACAAGAGCACCTGGGATGGTCCCCAAGGAGCAAGAAAACACCCGGCCGCATCCCAAAACCGGGCACTTTGCAGCCGAAACGCGCCGGCCTCCGCCCGGATTGCGACACGCCGGGCTGGGATTCCCGGGAATGCCGAAACCACCCCGGTGAGCATCGGGAACGGTGCTGCCGGCCGAGCAGGGCCTGGGTGATCCCCAGCCCCGCGGGCCGATGCTCCTGCCTTTGGGGCCAGAAAAGGCTTTTTTGGGAAAGCTCCCGCCAAAGCGGGGATGCTCCAGGCCTTTCCCCACGTGGGATTCCAGGGCCAATGGTTTCCGCCCCCAGCTCCTTCCTGGGAATGCGAGCCGGGACGTTTCCCKGGGAGCTGCCCCCACGCAGCGGCAGCGCTGGCCGCGTGGGATCGCCATCCCTAGGGACGCTCCGGCGGGAACCGGACCCGCCGGCAGCTCCGCCGGGGCCCAGCAAAGCCCCGATGCAACGAGTTGCCCGGCCGGTTCCCCAGCCTCCATCTCCCGGCTCTCCTGAGCCACCGCTTCCGTTCTGCCCCATCCGGCAAAAAATCCTCGGATGCAACTGCTCGGCCTCACGGATAAAACCCCGGGAGAAGACCCTGATGCAGGAGCATGGCTCTCCTGCAGCCTGGAACATGGTGCTTTTTAAGGAGACTCCGGCTTTTCCCTGGCACCTCGAACCATCTGGAAACGACACTGGCACCATCCCCTCATCCYGAAGCCTCTGGCAGGAGGGAAAAGGGAAGCAGGGAGGTTTGGGTGCCCTGGAGCTTCCGCAGGGGCCAAAGATCCCCGGAGTGGGTGCATTGGGAGCTGCTAAACACCCTTGCAGAGCAGAGCTGGAATCAGGGAGAAAAACTAAATAAAACGGGATGGCTCCGTATCCATAGGTCAGGGCACATAAATCTGCATTGGGAGTGAGCGGCGCAGGCGCCAAGGGATCCAACTACGGGGTTAAAGCAGCACTCGGCTCCCCCCAGCATTTCCCCTCTGTCCGGTGGTATCCGACGCCAGCTATCCCTAATAAATCAGGGAAATGTAAAATCCCRGGATTTTTTTTGCCTTGGAGCCCGGCACGGAGGCAGTCGCGGGGCCGATGCGGCGCTGTTGCCCTTAAAAGGGAAAATTGGCCCCTGGCTCCGGGTTCGGGCAAGGTGAGCAGCATTCCTGCCCCCGGGGGGGGGGGGTGCCCGCTTTTTTGAGGCCAAACGGGGCCAAAATGGGTTCCYGGGAGCTGGTAATTTTTGGAGGCGTCGCGACCGGCTGAGCAAGCCGGGAAGGTGGAGAAGGGAGATGAGGAGGCCTCGAGCAGCCTTAAAAATAGTGGTGCTGCCCCGACACGGCTGCAAAATCCCTCTGGGATATGGCGGAGAGGCTGCCGGAGCCGCTGTTCCCACGCCAGAGCATCGCGGGATGGGAGGCTCCGGCGTACGAGGCCAAAATCCGGCCGGATTGAGCAAAGCGCTATTACTATGTGCACGTTATTCCTGAGGACTTATTCCTGTTATTCCCAAAGTGACCGGGTGATTTTTCCTTCTGGCTTCTCTTCCATCCCAGCAGCTCTGGAGATGGGGGATGCAACACGGAGGAGACGGCATCCGCGGGGCAGAAACCGGAGCATCGGAGAAACCGGATCACGAGAATGTCCCGGCTTCAAGAAGCTCCCAAAATGCCAGGGAAATGGGGAAATGCTGCTACGGAGAAACCCCTCGTAATGGAAAACACACAAGATCCAGCCTGGAGGAAAGATCCCACAACAAAAGTCCGAGGACGGCACGTGCCGGGGCCAGGGAGCGCCAGAGCCCACGCGTTTCCGCCAGGATGAATGTGGCCTTCAGCCTCGGAACGGCGAGGACGCGAGCGGCGGCCTCCCCCCCGGCACGGAGGCAGGGAAACAGCCGACAATTCCCCCAGGGGGATGGGAAACAGGGATTCCCAACCCGCCTTTCCCCAAAACACAACGTGTTCCTCATTAGCAATGTGCCGAAATACGTGTCCTCCAGGAATCGGCACCCGCATTGGTTTTTCCGAGAACGGGATAAATCCCCGGAATTGCAACATGCAAAATGCACTTTTCCCCCTGATATTTCCATGTGGACATATTTCCCGCCAGCAGAAAAGCCCTGTTTGCTCCTTGAGCCACTAGTGCTGCCATGGATCGSGAACAAGCCATGATCCAACCGGAGCACTGGGAAGTTCGCAGGAACATCAAGCATAACACGGAAAGGCTGCTCATGTCCCTGCCTGGCCTATCCCGCTCTTTTCCTGGAGGAATTTGCACAGAGAGCGATTTTTGGGGACGGAAACACGGACACACCACGAGCTGGCTCTTATGGGCGGAGCTGGGAAACGGGAAGCTGAGCAACTCAGGGATCCGAGCGGCGGAAAAGCCCCATTGGGATCCCCTCAGGCAACACGGAAGGATGCGAGAATCCCAGGAACCCACCCGGGAAAGCTCCGTCCATGGCCAAACCTCCTGGGGGAGGCACCCGCGCAGAGGGGACACTCACCACGTGCGGCTTGGCGCGGGGCGCCGGCGCGGCGCCGGGCTCC